AAAAACACAGTAACAGTAGAAATCAACATTTTTTCTGCATCTAACCCTTGTCCCATGGGAATGCCAGATCTCCCTATAAGGGATTCTCCAAGGTTTATTTCACAGGTGCATACTCTGTCCACCCAATGGATTTTGCACTCCTCAGTTCTCCATTCTGTTCCCTCTTTCTTCTTCTTGTCAGTGGTTTACCCAGGGTTTGAATGAAAATAATCTGTGATGCCTTTTGAAGAAAAATATGCTCATCCACGCAGAGATTCTGGCATTGTATTTTCGTGGGGAGGGCATACTGGAATTTCTTTGCAGGAGTTAGAGAAAGGTGAGGAAGTTGTGGCATTTGAAAAACTCTTTGGTAAAGCTGTGATGCAAACCTCATCCTTCCAAATACACATCTTTAGGCTAGACCTTTTCCTTAAACTTCAGATCTGTGTAAACAACATCTGGACATTTCCATGCAGCTCTCCCTAAGAACCTCAGGCTCAACATGTCCAGAGTTGAATCTGTTGGCTTTTCCCCAAATCTGTTCCTCTTCCCAATACCCTCAATGACTGGAACCATCCACCTGGCGTCATGTAAGCCTTAAACTTGGGATCATTCTGAGCTCTTCCAGCTTCCTCACTTTCCATGTCCCATCAGTTACCAACATTGTAGATTCTAGCTCTGAAACTTCCCTGGAACCTCTCCTTTAGTCCATTCTTCCTGATTCTGCCTTATTTAAGTTTCTCATCATCTCTCTCCTGGGCTATTGAAATAGCCTCTTGACTGGGCTATTATGCCTTCTCTAGGCTTACTTGTACTCCATCTCCCCACAATCTATGTAATTATCTTTCCTGTTTAAAATATTTCAATAGCTCCCCATTCTCACAGGATCATGGCTCAGACTCCTTAGTTTGATCCATACCTCCAGAATTATCTCTTATACTCCCATTCCTGCCTGCAAACAAAAACAACCTATATGGTAGCCATGTGGACTAAATTATATGTAGTTCCTCTAATGTGCCAGGCTGCCTCACACCCCTTCGTCCATGCTGTTCCTTTTAACTGGCAGGTTCTTCCCATATTCTAGTGATCAGTCTTACCTCCTGCCCCACAGACCAGCACCAATCATATCTGCTTGGCAAAACCCTCTCATCTTTCAAGATCTCACATGTAACTTCTTCTTTAAAGCCTTTCTTGACCATGCCCCCTCCCACACCCCCATCTTGAAGCCACTTTCAGAACTGACCATACATGAATATGGTATCATTATAAAAATTAAAAATAAGGTGGATAAACCAAAGGCTCTCTTGATTCAGCCCTTGTAGTTGCACTCCCCTCTTGGTTATCAGTCTTTCATGGATCTTTCCAGACTGTTTTTCACTAACAATTTATCTTGGAAATATTTCCATGTGAGTGCATGCATATGGACCCATTCTACACAGAGTGTAATTGCTGCAGAGAATTCCCTAGTATGAGAATATTGTGGTTCCCTTATGCTATTGATGGATATTCTCCTCCCCAATATTTTGCAATAACAGTGCCACAATGAATATCATTTTGTCTGCTTCTTTATGCATAAATGCTAAGTATTTGTTTTCTACACAGATGCCTAAAAGTAGAAGTCTGGATAGAAGGTATACATATTTGATTCTGCATATTCTTTCCATATTTTTATGTCTGGTTGAATGTTTTAATTTTTCATGCATTGGTAAGAGTTATTTGTGTATTTTGAACAATAATCCTTAGTCTGATATACACATAGACGCACACACAAATGGAAGTATGTGCGCATGTGTGTGTGTGTATTTCTCCAAGTTTGTTTCAAATTTTGCTTGTCTTTGTCATAAGAAATTTTGTGTTTTTTTTTTTTAATTTTTTTTTCAACGTTTTTATTTATTTATGGGACAGACAGAGACAGAGCATGAACGGGGGAGGGGCAGAGAGAGAGGGAGACACAGAATCGGAAACAGGCTCCAGGCTCCGAGCCATCAGCCCAGAGCCTGACGCGGGGCTCGAACTCACGGACCGTGAGATCGTGACCTGGCTGAAGTCGGGCGCTTAACCGACTGCGCCAGCCAGGCGCCCCAGAAATTTTGTGTTTTTATGCAAATTTATCACTTTTTGTTTTGGGTTTGTGTCTTTCTCATGAAAACTGTTCATATGCCAAGGTTGTTTACATATTCTTTTTTAATTTTGTTATCCTATAGGTTTTTTTTTTAACAGTTAGCTGTTTAAATTACTTGCAATTTAGTTTTTTATGTTGTAGGGTATTACCTGATATTTTTCTTTTTCCAAATTGAAAGTCAATTTGTCTGCATTACTTACTGTGTAATAGCCCATTTATTCTCAGCCCAAATTTAAATGCCATTTTTTAGTAACTAAATTTCTAACTATATTCATGAAGCTGCTTCTGTACTTTGTAGTAGATTTTCTTGACCTCTTTCCTTATTTCTAGGTCATTACCACACAGTTTTGGCTACCGTAGCTTTATTGTATGTTTTGGTATCTTATAAGGAACCTATCATTTTTTAGCAGTGTGTCTTCTCCTACCAGATGTTTGATGGCTGGGACGGAGTCATATTTGTCTTTGAATTTTAAGGGCCTTTTATGTAGTTTTCATCCATGTTTGTTGGATGGTGCAAATGAATAAACCCAGAAGCTATTGGTACTATTGATGCTACACTTTATATTCTCAAGGTCTCAAAGATCATCGTGAAAAATAACAAATTTTTTAGTTTTTCTTCCACTTCCTATTATAGTTCAGTACTTCGATGAGTTATTCATAGGACTCTTATTATTATTTAATTTGTTTTTGAATAAATAATTCGTCCATAGTGTACAAAACCCCAAAGGCACAAAAGTGATAAATTAAGTCTCCCCTCAGTTCTTAAGAGGAAATTATACTACCAATTTCTTCTTTAACCTTCCAAAATGGCAGCATACCATCTACTCTGTTCTGCACTTTGCTATTTTCATTTAACAATACATCCTAGAGATCATTCCATACCAGTACATGTGATACTGTCTCATGAGATGGCTGTGCTGTGTTTTATTTAACCAGCAATTCAGTTGTTCCAATAAATATCCTTTGTATGTATAATATTCTCAAATATCTAGAATAGAAGTTCTGCACATGAAATCAGTGGGTCGAATGGTATTTGAATTTTCAGCTTTGATTTATACCATTAAATTGCTCTCCAAACAGTTTCTAGAAACTTCATGAATGAAGACCTTAATGGCACTTCCCATCAGGCTTCTGACTTGCTCAGGCATGTACTGAGTACCACAGGGACACTACAGAGGGTCTAGCAGGGAGACTGACAGTGAGTGGAACTCTGTGTGTGTGTGTGTGTGTGTGTGTGTGTGTGTGATGTATACTTGGTAAGAAGCTCAAGGAAAAACCATAAATCAATTAATTAATTAATTAGAGTCCTGTTTAAAGCTCTAATAATGAGTGCAAGCATTAGTGGTTTGAATAAAGCTCCTTTGCCTTTATTATTCATTAGAAACTGGCAGTAAGTAATAGGTTTGAATTTCACAGTCCTCATGCTGCTAATCAAAGCACATAGATCTTAAGATCATAAATTATTATCCCTCACAACAGGACAATAAAGGAAATTTGGTTTTATGAATTGCTAACTGGGACACTGGCTAGCCTCTCTCTGGGTCTTGGGCTGATTCAGAGGGAAGGAGGCTGGTAATCACATCTTGAAACTGGAACACTGTCTTATAGATCAGGTGGGGCACAATTTCCTCAAACTCATGATATTTTACTTACCTGGAGTCAGGGGGACGAGTGGTCTGACCCAGATTAAACAGCCCCTTATTCTCCTTGTTGGCCGTGGTTCATGATGGTCAGCTGGAAAGGGTATTTTTCTAAGCAGGAAGAAGGCTTTCCTGTGGGCAGGAGGCTGTTTTTGCTGTGCCCTCTTAGGGAGTTGGTGCTGGGTTTAGATTGCGTGCCTTCCTCTCCCCACTCCTTCTCATTTCCATCTCATATGTCATTTTTCTCTCTACTCCTGCCTCCACTAATGTAAGTCTGTTTTGAGAGGATCTTCTCTTTCCCTGGTGTGTCTTTCTCCACACGAAGCAGCAAAACACCAGGTTCTTATCTCTTCTTTTCGTAGGATGAGGACAGAAAGAAGATGAATCCTTATCTTCTGACTTGCCTTTTTATTCCTCCCCCCATTTTTGAGGCTTTTCACGATTGTGTGTGTATGAAAGTGTGAAAGGAGGAGGCTGTTCCACTCTGCCTGCCTTAGCTCTCCCTTCTCTGGCTGGCACACCCTCCCAGCCCACCAGTGTTCTCTTCTTTCTTTCAGTGGCTTGTGTGCCAGTCTCTATGGCTTTTCCTGGGCCACAGGACCCTTGTATCTCTCTTACATTACCTTTCAGTGCCTACTTCACCTGGCATTTCAAGTATAAAGGCTTAGAGAACTGCCAATTAGCATGAGCAGAGAAAATGTCTTTATCTATCATGTATCTATCTATCTATCTATCTATCTATCATCTATCTACCATCTATAATCTATCTATTTTAGGGGGAGAGAGAGAGAGAGAGAGAGAAAGAGAAAGAACACTAAAAAGTGAGCATGTGAGTGGGAGAGGGGCAGAGGAAGAGAGACAGAATCTCAAGCCGGTTCCACATTCAGTGCACAGCCTGTTAGAGGGCTCAATCCCATGACCCTGGGATCATGACCTGAGCCAAAATCAAGAGTCAGAAGCTAAGCTGACTGAGCCACCAGGTGCCCGAAAATGTCTTTAAATAAAGCATTGGTTGGGGCGCCTGGGTGGCGCAGTCGGTTAAGCGTCCGACTTCAGCCAGGTCACAATCTCGCGGTCTGTGAGTTCGAGCCCCGCGTCAGGCTCTGGGCTGATGGCTCAGAGCCTGGAGCCTGTTTCAGATTCTGTGTCTCCCTCTCTCTCTGCCCCTCCCCCGTTCATGCTCTGTCTCTCTCTGTCCCAAAAATAAATAAATGTTGAAAAAAAAATTAAAAAAAAAAAAGCATTGGCCAACACAATCATACTTTATGACAAAAGTTTATTAGGATTAGGTCAAATAGAAAACTTCATGCTTTGCCATTTGCATATTTACCCGGAATGACCAGATTATACTTAGCTGAGTATAAAACAGTTTGTGCCCCTGGATCCTACTGTTTGGAAGAAAATCAATATATGTAGCAGTGTGTCTGACACCACCATGGTTAATAGCCTAACAACTGGTTAGCAAAGCATATGTTATTTTCAAGCTTTGGGCCTGAGGAAGACATCCCCTACCTCCTTCAGAAACAGACCCATCATAGCCTGGGCACCTAAGACTAGAGCCTGCTTTTTCGGAGTCTAATATTAACATCTGTATTTCAAGAGAAGCTAGGCTTGAGGTATCTTTATGGCTTAAAAGGCACAGATCATGCAGCTGAATTAAAAGCTATTGTGTCGGTCTGTCTGTCATGGGCTATGAGCCATATCTTGTAAGAGGAGTCCCCAGGCTGCATCCTTGAGTCTTCAGTATGGTCTATGCATCATCGGCTCTGCTCCTCTAGCTTCTGCTCTTGCTAATCAGCTGTGGGTGTTGGGTCTGGAAGACGGGTTGGGACTCCTGCACTGTCTCCTGCCACGTGGAGAACAACCTGTGCTGTGGAATCTCATTACTCAGCGTACAGAGGGGACCTGCCACAGGGCTAAGGAGTGACTCAAATGCAAGCAAGGACGGGGAGCCTTGTTCTTCAGGTAAAATATAGTATGGAGAAAAGAAAACTGCTCTTCCTGGAAGGGTCCTACCAAGTTGGAAAACGGAGCTGCATTTAGCGCAGGGTACACCCAGCTGGAACTAACCCTTTGATTCATTCCATGGGAGAAGCAGCTTGACAAGAATGCCCATGAGAACAGTGGGTCGCCACACGGCACGGCTTCTGTGAGGCCATCAGCAGTGGTATCGATCCCTTGTCTGGGCTTTGCAAATAGCCCTGAGGTCATTAAGGGCACGTGGGAGTCTAGGTCTTTATTAATATACAAATAATCAGGTACTAAATAACTTGGCATAGCCTCCAGCTTAGAAGCCAGATGTTTATGCTCAGAAACTTTTTTCCTTATTTTTAAACTCTCCCTAATGAAGGGAATGAAATCCAAAATTGAAGCGAAGGCCTGGAGAGCTGCCTACTGAACGGAAACCCCTCAGACACAAGGGTATCTGTTCCTCCCTTAACAGCAGCGAGACTCCTGACTCCCTCGCTTCTCTGCCCTTCCCACCCCACCCAAGTCGCTAATAAAAATGGCTGCTGTCTAAAACTTAAATTCAGTTGCAAAATAGAGAGGGGTGATAATAAATTCTCATTTCTTTAGGCACCAGAGGATACTTGTGACAAGGTTTTGATTCTCTTCAATTTGTGCTCTTACTGCATTTTCCAGCTTCTATTCCCCATGCTGCCTCCCCAGCTTGGCTTGTATCTCTCAGTGAGCCTGGCATTACTTGTGATTACGTCTGCACTGTTCACCACTAATTCAGCTGGGACTGACCCGGAGTCTGCTCAAGCTTGAGTTCGTAGCCTCCTAGGCCGAGATCCCCCTCGTAAATGTTGTCTTTGCTTGGAGTCTGCGGTGAAGCTTTCTGGTCCAGACCCAGCCCTGCAGGAGGACTGCAGGGCGAGGTGGCTTGCTCCTGGTAACTCATGGCCAGTTCGTCCTGATTCACAATGCATTCTACATCTTCCTCTTTTAGCTGCTCCTGGATTTTGGGAAGAGAGAGAAGTCACTTCATGATGAAGAAAGCAAGAGCAGTCTGACAGTGTTAGAAAGTAGGGTGTTTGTTTTCCTTTCTTAATGGCCCTGTCTTGCCTTGGCTGAGGTACCTGCTGCAGGCAGGTGTCACGTTTCCATGTCCGTGGGCATGGTGGAGCATTTCCCCTGGAAGACCTGGAGGCATAACACAGCCATATGGGGCCTCCAGGCCTAAGGTGAGAATTGGTAGAGAGCGCGTGCTAACCGAGTGCCTCCTTGGGTTAAGGGAGTTAAAATAAAATTCAGTGGATTTCTTGAACTGGTACATAACTAGGTTGAGAGGAGTCAGGAGTTAGGAGAATCTTGGCACCTCAGAGTACGGAATGATTCTCAGTGTTGGTTTTGGAACACTCCTGCCTATCACGAAATTCTCAAAAGGCAGTTTCTGTTACATTTTATTTGAAAAGTGTGTCCTCACAGCATGCTTCTTGGGATGGGTATCACAAAGCTAAAAATGGTTGGAAGTCACCATAGTAGATAATGGCAGAAACTAACTAGATCTGACCAACGTAGTTTTCCTCAGACAGAGCTTTCCTTGAAGGAAAGAATTAAGATTTCAACTCTTCCTTCATTGGCTTTGGGAAGACCATACAAAATCACTCATAGAATGAGCCCTGGCTAGGTGACTGAGGTCAGTGGTTTCCAACGTTAGGCCGTTGAATCCCTTGGAAGGCTCATGGAAGCACAGATACTGGGCCCCAAGCTCAGAGTTCTGAGGTGTGGGGGGGTGCTGATAATTTGTATTTCTAGCAAGTTCCCAAGTGATACTGAGGCTGCTGGTCTGGGGACACACTTTGAGAACCACTGCCTTAGGCCATTGTGTCCTGAGCACATCTGAGACATTTTTCTCTGTTTATGCAAGGGAGTGCATAAACCTCCAGCGGGACAACCTCCAGGGGCGCCACACACTCCAAGGCTTTGCTCCTCTCCAATCCCTGATGCTGGTTTGTTTGTAATGATTCTAATTGCTTTTCAGCATTTTTTATTCCACTCCCTTGAGCTATAAAGCACAGGCCTAATATTCAAAACCTCAAAACACAGCAGTTTGTGAGGACATGTTACTTCTTTTATGTTTTCTAAATTCATTTTATGGTTAAAAATATTGATTAAAAAAAACTGTATTCTTAAAAGAAGAATGAGCCCACATAAGCAACATCTGAAAGGAAAAGAGAAATGCTTCTTGGTGCAGTGAATTTTAAAACGCTTCCTCCTCAAGCTGGGAAGTAATAGCCCTGAGGTTCCTGGGCTCATCGGTATTCACCAAGCCCGGCCCACTCCGGGCAGTTACTCACCCCATAGGCCTGCGGACTGGTGAGCAGCCGGGAAATTGGCCCGCACCATTCAGGTAACGTGGTGGTCAACGGAGGACCAGAGTGGGTTAAAATTGGTTTCAGATATCTGTAAGGCCTGTTAAGGAATACTTGCCAAAAGGAAGTTAGAATTTAGTTTCACACACAGCACAAACCTTTGCATGCAGTGAAAGAGACAGTTATGTTCACCTTTAAATCCCCTACTCCCTCATTTAGGAGGCAATTTGGCCTGCAAAAATTGCTGTTTATAATCTTTGCTCCACACACTTTTCCAGCCCTCCTGGAGGTCTTTAATCATGAAGAAATGGGGACTGGGCCAGCCAACATCAGAGAGAGGGGTGAATGTTCCTCTTCTCCTCCCCTCCCCCCACCAATGTCTCATCTGCTTAGAGAATGCATTCTTAAGAATTATCTTAAAACAATAGCATAAAAGATTGTGTTTTCTTAAAACTGCACACATAGCTTAAACCTCCAGTAATTTTCACAAAGAAGCAAGAGGTATTTCATAAAATGTTCAGTCACTTTAGGACTGGGTAGTGAACATTGATTGTTTTCCAAAATACTTTATTTTCACTATTCAACACAGGCACTTTATACTTCATACATCAATGCGCTTCTATACAAAATTATGTAAATAAGCTGGTGCCAAGTTCATTCTATTGTCTAGCACCTGTCTTTCTTATCTCTTCATCCCAAAGTGCTCTAACAAGTTAAAAGAAAACCCTGTTCATCTAAAGCTGTTATATTTCCCTCCAATCTAGCAATAGTGAAACCCCTAGAGTCTGCCTCAGGTTGCCTTATTATTTCTTTTTTTTTTGCTCAAAGGAAAGTAGTGGAATTATTTCCCCATTCCATCAGACACAACTTTTAAGCTTTATATTATTTCCTCTGCTGGAGAATATTTCACCTCATCAACTTTCTGAAAAGCTATAATAAATAGAGAAAAGGAAAAATGGAAAGCGGTTAACTTCGTTTGGCTTATGAAAATCTGAAGTCATCCCCAGGCACTAAGGATGTGAGAGGACCTTGGAGATGGCTCTCCTGGAACCCATCTATATCTGGACACCACTCTGTCCTTCCTGTGATGCCCGAGCATGTGACAGCAGAGGGAGATGCAGCCTACAGGGGCCAGGAATCTTGTTGCCTCTGGCTTCAAATCCTTCCCCATCAAAGTGGTGATGAAACAGGAGATACTCATGAACACAGTCTAGTTATGATGCAAGGAGAGCTGCTTAAGAGCATCTATAATTCCAACTGAAAACGGAAAACTTGGCAATTCCTTTCACACGGGCAGCTGTTGTGCTCAGTGAAGGACCAGAGAAGATGTCAAAGTTCAGAGCCTGGCATTCCCTGTAACATTTTTTGAGTATGTCTGTGACTCTGGAAAGCCTGTGATGGTCTTCCATTAATTTTCATTAAAATTGTTATTTCCTTCATTGTATGGATGAATGAATGGAAGCCTAGAGATATAATGATATTAAGTAATCCAAAAGCTCCCATTGCTATTTGAATCTGCCACCATCATCACTAGCAAAAGATAAATGAGCAGGGCAGAATCATGCATGTGACCAGCTGGTTCTCTAGAGAGAAACGCTTGCAGACCTTATCCCTGCTGACGAGCTGTAGACCTTCTCACATAGGGGCATGTGAGGATACATGGTCTTATTAGGGTTTATGGTGTGAACAGGTGAGCAAAAAATACTTTTGTAGGGAGGTGAGATGGGTAAGATAGATGTATAACTGTAATGTGAATCAGGGAAAATCCAGCCAATTTTATTTCAAGATGGAAAAGTGACAGTAAGTATGCAACATTTTTAGAGATGTCATATTAAAAACAAAAACAAAGGGGCACCTGGGTGGCTCAGTCGGTTGAGCGGCTGACTTCGGCTCAGGTCATGATCTCATGGTCCGTGAGTTTGAGCCCTGCGTCGGGCTCTGTGCTGACAGCTTGGAGCCTGGAGCCTGTTTTGGATTCTGTGTCTCCCTCTCTTGACCCTCCCCCGTTCATGCTCTGTCTCTTTCTGTCTCAAAAATAAATAAACATTAAAAAAAAAATTTAAGGGGCGCCTGGGTGGCGTAGTCGGTTAAGCGTCCGACTTCAGCCAGGTCACGATCTCTCAGTCTGTGAGTTTGAGCCCCGCGTCAGGCTCTGGGCTGATGGCTCGGAGCCTGGAGCCTGTTTCAGATTCTGTGTCTCCCTCTCTCTCTGCCCCTCCCCCGTTCATGCTCTGTCTCTCTCTGTCCCAAAAATAAATAAAAACGTTGAAAAAAAAAAGAAAAAAAAATTTAAAAACAAATTTAAAAACAAAAACAAACCTGAAGAGATTTGTCAAGGCTTTAATTGTTTCAGAGAGGCCTGGGCAACTTTCTCTATTTGAGGTTCTCAGAATATTGAAAAATTAAATTATATAACACCAAAATAATGTTACAAAAGTAAGGCACAAATTTAGAATTGTGTAATGGACATTTTCTTGTTTTAATCCTGATGAGGTATCTCTTTAAGTCTATGTGTAATGTTACTGGAGCTAACACTTAGAGGCGAAATTTTAGCTTTTTTGAATGTGAGGCCTGGACCCCAGGGGGTACCATTTGGCCTCTTTTGGATAGGTTCTGGGATTTTTGACTCTCAATGCCTTGGCATAACTGTTGTCTCTGCCACTTTCTGTGTGAACTGTGGTCTAGTTATTTACCTCTGTGAGCCTCAAGTATTGTTGTGAATATTAATGGGAAACAACATTATGCAAAAATGTTTTTAAACTCTATGTGCTATTCACATGCTATTTATTTTGTTTTAAATAATTATTTTCTAAGCAATGCTTCTGAGAAACTTTTGTCTTGATCATTGTTCAGATAATAGTGGGGAGATGGAACTGAGGGTAGAGAGGAGAAAATGGCACTCCAGGCATTTGGTGTGGCCTTGGGGGTCACAGGCTAGTTAGCAGGTGGGACATTTAAGGTACCCCGACATCAAAAATGGCTATTTGGGTCAAATTTTGTTGTATAGGCAGCTAGTGTGAGGTGGTAGGTGACAGGTGGGCAGAATTTATTGATGTATGACTCTTCTAGGAAACTGATGATGTTGTTTTTGCTGCTCTGATGTCTCAGTAGCTGTGAGTTCAAAGGAATGAGGCATACCCTGTGTGGCAGTGAGCGGAATGTGCAAAGCACCACCCCTAGCCATGGTGCACGTGCAGCAGAATCTATGTCAAACATCTCGGTTTGCCCAGTGCTTATCATATATCCTGTGCTCAGTGGATGTTTGTTGAATTTCTGATATAGGAAACTATTCTGGGGTGGTATGAGTGATGGAAGTAGATCCTGGGTAACTGTGACAAGAGAAGATGAAGGGGGCAGATAATAGCCAACGAACGAGGTTTTTCTGAGGATAAGAGGCTAAGAAAGGTTACGTTGAAGATGGACCTCTTGGGCCTGAGTTATTAGACTGAGGGGACCATGAAAAAAGACTGGTAATGGCATGAACTGAAGTGGTTAAAAAATAATCTGCTTTCTTATTCATTTGCTCCTTCATACGCTCACATGTTTTTGTTTTATGTGCCAAACTGGTGAGGCATCCACACAAGGACATGGACAATTAATTGCATTATAAAATGGAAAGCTTCCTGGTGTCCACACTGTGGTTTCCTTGAGGGCAGGCCTGTTCTGTTCACCTGGATACAGTGCTTCGCACATTTTAGATGTTCAAGAAATAGCTGTTGAATTAATGAAGACAACAGGCTCAGAGAGAGGAAAAGAATTGCTCAGTGGAACCCGGCCAGATAGTTAATGGTGGCGCTGGGCCTGTGATCAAGGACATTTCCATCACACGGGGCATCTTTCTTCTGCTACAGAGACACTGAATGACAGGTCTCATCTGATTGGACAGCTGATTTGGAATTGAGGAATCCATGATTTTCCGAGTTCTTTATTGCTGAGCACTGTCTGGAAAGTGGCTGGATCTCCAGGGTTACCTTAATTATTAAAGAGTAAGAAAACTCTTCTGATCTACAAAAAAAACCCATGCTGCTGATTTCGCAAAATGTGTTATTTTTTTTCATCAAGTTCTAGTATATGTTTGGGGAGGGAGATTCCCTGTTGGGTATTTTTGGTACAGCTAGTTTTCCTTCTCTAATAAGCTAGAAATGTATCGAGATGAAATGTGAAGCTCTGGGGGGAAGAAAACAATGACTTTTCACATCTAAAGGGCCTAGGTTTGGGAATAGCAGTTTGGTTCAGGAGATGTAAGTAAAAGCTGGAATTCCATCCAGAGTTAACACACGTGTAATAAGGAAGACAATTAACAGATGCCCTTTTCTTTTTTGACCTGAGCTATCAGAAGGTCCAGAGCTAAATTTAATGCTTAACTGAACTAACATCTAAAATACCCGGCAACACTGATTTCTTTCTCTTTTTTGTTTGTTTGTTTTTAATTATTTTAAATCCCCATGTTTTACCCATTAGTTGCCAAAACTAATGAGTGTACAGCCTGCTCATATGCTTCATATGACATGGTCTTACCTAGACTAGTGAGATGCAAAACCCCAAGCAAAGATGCAGCTCTACAAATTAGTATCCGCCCCTTTGAGGAGACTAAGCCCCGTTGCCCCCTACCATGGACTGAATGTCTGCATTCTTCCCAAATCCATATGTTGAAGTCCTAACCTTCAATGTGATTGTTTTTGGAGATGTTCTTTGGGAAGTAATTAGGGTTAGATGAGGTCATGAGGGTGGCCTCCATGATGGGATTACTGCCCTTATAAGAAGAAATACCAGCGTTTATTTGCTCTCACTCTAAATGTCCACAAAGAAGAGGTCATGTGAGCATAAGTGAGATGGTGACCATCTGCAAGCCCAGAAGAGAGTTCTTACCAGAACCTAATCATGCTGGCACCATGATGTCAGACTTCTAGCCTCTAGAACTGTGAGAAAATAAATGTCTGTTGTGTAAGCCACCCAGTCTATGGTATGTTGTTATGACAGCCTGGGCAGACTAACACACTCCCTCTCTCTGGACCTCTTTAAAAATCTCTTAGAGTCCTGAAGACCTATGTTCTATCCTGGCTTTCTCTAAACTTGCCTCATTCTGAAGAT